GGCCTTCCATTCCTGGGATCGGAACAGCACACACCACACTCGTCGGGTGTGCAGCTGTGCTTCAATAATCACACGCTTTCCTGGCTTCCGCTCTGCCTATGGTCTAATTTCAACCCCTTCAGTTGCCATGTCCACCTGTAAAATTATGAGTATAAAAGTATCTTGCAAACCCTAACGCTCTATGAAGAAGTCAAAAGTATTGCTGTAATTATTATCATGTCCAATGGTTACAATTTCTGCTGCCCACCTCTTAGCCACGTGAGGCCTAGAAAAGAGGGAGGGGCAGGCCATGCCTCAGCTTCTGAGGCTCCTGGCCCTTTTCCTCTTCCAGCTGCCCACAGCTGGTTGCTAAGCCAGGGGCCCCTGGGGAGAGCAGAGAAAAGGTGATTTGCCGGGTTGCAGGGATGGAGCTGGGAGACAAAGCACGTGTTCCCTTCAAGTCTGGACCACTGCCCTGAGTCTAACAGGGAGAGCTGGGGAGGGGGCAGAGGCAGGACTGGAGGAAGGGGACTGGGGAGGCGGCGGGTCCCAGGCGTCCTGTTTCCCCAGAGGACTCTTACCTTGGCCTTCCCGGTCATGCCCAAGAGGAAGCTGAAGGTCCGTCGCAGGGAGGAGCCTGCCCAGGTGCCTGAGCCCCCTTCCAGCTGGCTACAGCTGCAGAGAGAAAAGGCAGAGGTGAAGAGAGACCAGTGGAGCCGGAAAAGACAGATGCTGCCAGAGCTGTGGCCCCAGGTGCCCTACCCAGCAGAGAGAGTGGAGATTAGAGAGGACACTTCGAGAAAAGTGAGAGAGAAAGACGCCCTGACCTCCTCGGGCTTCCTGGATGTGGGCACTTCAGCTCCCAGGCCCCTCTATTTATGAGAACTCCAGGCTCCTCCCAGACAAAAGCAGTCTCCTCCTTCCTTACCTAATCCAGGCGCAGTCTGGGAGGCCCCATCTCCTCCTTTAGGCTGCTCCCCAGCAGCGGAAGTGGGATGGGGTGGGGGTTCTCCCGGGGGGCATGTTCCCCTCTCAGAACAAGAGCGCTGTGTACGACCCTCTCTGCTGTTTGGAAAGGGCCTCTGGGCCTCAAGCCAGTAAGGACTGAATTTCCTGGGATTTCATCAGCCCCATCCCATGAGCTAATCCCAAACCCAGAGCCAGAAGGATGTGTCAGCTAGAGATTTTCAGGACCAGAAGTCAGAGTCTGCTATCTTAAAGGGCCCATGACTTGCTCACACACCCACAATGTCTAGGAGGGCTGACCCACTGGAATCAGGCTTCAGCGGAGGAGCCAAATAAACAGGTGCTGTTTTTGCATGCTTATTTACATAGTTATTGAAATCGCCAGGCCTCCTCCTGCCTCCTGAACAGTGCCTTAGGGCCCTGCCCTCTCCCACAGAGCTCTCTGGCCCTGTCTGGCTCTCCGTGGTCAATGATCTGAACTGTCCAAAGCTGCTCCGTGATCCTCGGTCACTGTCTCCCTCTGAGACTGACAGCCATTCTGCGGGCTCAATTCACGGGCTCAATTCACGATAGCAAGCGACTCCCACTCTCTTACTCATCTGACACCCTGGGGTCTGGACACGCTTTCTTTCTCTGGTTTCTCCTCCATCTCCTGGGGCTACCAGGAACCTTGTGAGCCCTACCTCGCCAACGAGAAGAGGCAGATTGGGTGCCTTTTGGGGGAAGTCTATTTAGAGGTCCATGGTCAGAAACACTAAGGAGGGTGATGTTTCGGGAAGCAGAGAGATCCTTGGGGCTACAGAATCCATGGCCCTCCCCCATCTAGGCCTTTGAAGGGCTCTGAGTCCTCCAAACTCACCTTTTGCGGAGATCGATGGCAGAGGACCGGGATAAATTCCCTGCCAATGCAAAAGGAGACAAGAAGTGTCCAGCTAAGGCCAGACAAAGGCACTCAGGGCTGCGTCCCTCCACCCCCTGCACCTGGATCAGGTTCCCAAGCTGCAGGTGCATGTGACGCCATTCCTGAGGGCGGGCGCTGGGGAGCAGGGACAGAGGGCGGGGTCTGAGTGGAGCTGGGCTCAGACCTTAGAAACCTTGGGAATAGAGCCCAGGGTTTGTGCAGAAGGGGGCTGGGGCCCACGTTTCAGCTGTGTTTCTGGTGAATGGGGAGAGCCGAGGTTTCACACTGAGCTCCTAATACTCCATCTTGACAAGGCAGAGTGCAGTAATTCCTCCAGCTCTGGCGACAGGGCTGTCTGGAGCGCCTCACTGTGACCTGCTCCAGCCTTCTGTGGGAGCAGGGTCTCACAGGGCCAAAGAGATTCAGATCTCTTGTTTGGATAAGGCACTTTGGAGCTCCAAGAGTGTGTGGTTTCACAACGTAGGCCCAGGACACCTGGGCCTGCGCGGCTGGCTCTAGAAGTGGTGGCAGGCCCGCTTTGCTCCCGACTTTCGCTCACCGTTTGGATCCGCGCAGTCCAGGAGGCAGTTGATGCCACTCATGGATACAGACTTGGAAAGCATGCCAGTGGCCGAGGCGTTCAGACGGCCAGCCGATGGATGACAGGAGCCCTGGCCCTAGAAGCATGTCAAGAGTCCTCACATGAGAATCGGGCTTTGTCCCTCCTCGCATGCACCTAGTCTCCCCCACAGCCAGGCCTTTCTCCAAATCCAGGCCTCACACCCCTGCCCTACCCACCCCTGGGACGTCTGCTTGAAGGAGCTGGGAAGTTATCCTGCTCTGGAAAACGCCTTAGACTGCTGCACTTCAAGTCCAGACTTTCTTAATATGGAAAATAGCTCAGGGGCTGGACGGCGGAGCACACATCAAACCAAGGCAGACCCACGTGGGAAGACTGCCCGCTCACACTGGAGACCTCTCACACTCACCCGGGCACGTATGCGCCCGTGATCTGGGGCTGGCCAAAGCTGGGGGTGGATCGTCACATCAAGATCCTGTCAGGGGTGCTAGGTCTCTGTTCTTTTTTTTTTTTTTTTTTTTGAGAGGTTTTCGCTATAGGGCACGTGCTCTCGCCAGACAGACAGAGAGAGACAGAGAGATAGAAAGCGAGAAATCACCCCCCAGGGGGGATGGTCACGCCGCAATCCCTTCTCCTCCATTCTCCTCTCGGGATCTTGGGCACGCACGCACATGTGCCCGGCATGAGTTTTTAAGCCACCGGGTCCGGGACGCGAACCGCAGTTGACTACGTGGGAGTCCAGCGACATAGCCATTACGCTAACTGCTGGTTCCCCTAGGTCTCTGTTCTTGCTCACAGAAAAAATTAACTTTTTTTCTTTTTATGGAGAAATTTTTACTATAGGATGCATGCACTCACAGCAGAGACAGAGCCAGAAAGTGAGAAATCACCCTCCAAGGAGGATGGCCACACTACAATCCCTTCTCTCCTCCATTCTCCTCTCAGGATTTTGGGCACATACCCGGTGTGAGTTTCAAGCCACCGGGTCTGGAATCAAACCACAGTCAACCACGTGGGAGTCCAGCATTTTAACCACTACACCACCTGCTGTCCCCTAAACATTTTTTTTTTAGGAATTATTTTATTGGGGCCAGCAAGTTGCATAGTGGTTAAGGGCCTGGGACTCCCACAAGGCAGACCACAGTTCAAGTCCTGGACCCAGTGGCTTGCTTTCTTGTTTTCTATCTCTCTCGCTCTCTCTCACTCTGTTCCACTCTGGTCAAATTAAAATTAATTAATTAGTTAATTAAAGTTCAATGAAATAATATTTTTTAAAAAGACTATTTTAATTTGACCAGAGAAGGGCATAGTGAAAGAGAGAGAGAGAAAGTAAGACAGTAAGCCGCCAGGTTTGGGACTCGAACTGCAGTGGAGGGCATGTGTGCTTGCCACAGAGACAGAAAGAGACAGATAGAGAGAAAGCAAGAAATCACCCCCCCAGGGTGGATGACCATGCCACAATCCCTTCTCCTCCATTCTCCTCTTGGGATTTTAGGCACATATGCACACGTGCCCAACGTGAGTTTGAAGTCACTGGGTCCAGGACTGGTCTAGGACTCGAACCACCATCAACTACATGGGAGTCCAACAATGAAACCATTATGCCAGCTGCTGGTCCCAAAGTAAGTGAGTATTATTTTTTTTAAAAGAAAAAATATATATCTTAGGACAATAGGTGGCATGAGGTTAAGGTGGCTGGGTTCTACATGGCCAATTTCATGGTTCAAGGCCTGGACCATGGAAAATCACACTGGATGGGGGGCCAGCAGATGGTTTGGTGGTTAAGGTGCTGGACTCCCACATGGCTGACCGCAGTTAGAGTCCTAGATCTATGACTTGTTTTTTCACTTTCCCTTTCTCTCTCTGGTCAAACGAAAAAATAATAAATTAAGGGACCAGCAATTAGCGTAATGGCTATGTCACTGGACTCCCATGTAGTCGACCGTGGTTCGCATCCCAGACCCGGTGGCTTAAAACTCACGCTGGACGCGTATGCGTGCGTGCCCAAGATCCTGAGAGGAGAACGGAGGAGAAGGGATTGCGGCATGGCCATACCCCCTGGGGGGTGATTTCTCGCTTTCTGTCTCTCTCTCTCTCTCTGTCTGTCTGGCGAGTACACGTGCCCTATAGCAAAAACCTCCCCCCAAATAATTAATTAATTAATTAATTATATTATATTAAATAATTATTTTATTGAATTATTTTATTTAACTTTATTGTTATTTTTTACTAGACAAAGTGAGAGACAGAGAGAGAAAGAGAGAGAGAAGGAAAGTGAGAAAGAAAGCTACCAGGTCCAGGGCTCAAACCGCAGTCAGCCATGAGTCCAGTGCCCTTAATCACCTCGCCACCTGCTGGCCCTAATAATTATTTTTATTAAAAAAAGAAAAAGAAGAAGAAAAGAAAGAGAAGAAAATAAACAAAAAGAAAAGAAAAGAACAGAAAAGAAAATCATCCTGGACACATATGCATGCATGTCCAAAATCCCTAAAAGAGAATGGAAGAGAAGGGATTGTGGTGTGGCCTTCTCCCCTAGTGGGTGCTTCCTACCCTCTCTCTGTGTGTTTGCATATGTGCCCTATAGCCAAAAAAAAAAAAAAAAAATCAGCTCTAGGGA